CCCCAAAACCCCCAAAAACCAACCCCCCCCCAAAAAAAAAAAAAAACCCAAAAAACCAAAAAAAAACCCCAACCCTTGAAAATTTGGGAGCTCACGTGCGCTGCGAAAATTTGGGAGCTCACATGCCCCTCACAAAAATGCTACCCCCCCACCCACACACCCCCCGCGCCGAAGCTGCGGCCGCATCCCCCGCCATCCCCACGCCTGGCTCTGGCAGATGGTTTTTGCGTCGAGGTCAGTAAGAAAAAACCAGCGGCCGTCGCCTCTTGCTCGCCGCGGGAGTAAAATCCTGATACGTCGATACCGTGGCGAGGCTGCTCACGGGGAATTCGGGGGGGGGAAAAAGCGCCAAAAACTGTTGATTTAAGCAAACCGCTTGCCTTTCAGTAAGTTTTATCGGTGGCAGGTACCTGAAAAGGCCTCCGCGTGCTTCCAGCGTGCGTCTTTCTCGGGCGAAGCCATGGAGGTCCCCTCTCCTCCGGCAGCTTTTCCTTGAAACTTTGCGCTTGTTTGGAGTTAACGTTTTCTGGTGGAAAAATAAAACAATAGTGAGATTTGACTTGAGGCTGGCAGAAGCGTGCCACTCGGGGCCCTCTGCAGCGGCTGAAAATGTTGTTATTTAAAAGCATGGGGGGGGGGGAGAGTCCCCTTATTAACGTCCCTTCTAATGAGTGGTGCGTTCCGCTCTGGATAAAATAATTTAAAATTAATTGGCTGCTCAAAGAAATTCACTTCTCACAGGACGCGACCTGTATCGATTATCTAGTTGTTTTAGTGGCTTTGGCACGAGGAAATTACTTAATTGGGCTTAATTAACCTGCAGAACTCCCTGCTAAAATAATCTGGAGCTGGGAGGTTTGGGGTTCGGAAAGGGATGGAATGCTTTTGGAGGTTTGAATGAGCACAATTAAACGATCAGACTTTGGAAGCGCGTTAGCAGTTCGCCTCTACGTAGGGGCAGCTGATACCCGGGCTGCGGTGGCGCTGTAGGAAGCTCTAAAGATGTCGTGGATGAAGTTGGGGGTTAGGCAGCGGTTGTTGCAGAATTTGGGGCGTGCTCTGAGGAAGGGGAACTGGCATCCCTGTGAAAATAGGTGGGTGTCGGTGATTTCGGACCACAAATCTAGTCTAAATTTAAACGGGACACCAAACCAGCAGATACCGAACGGTCTTCAAGTTGTGGTTTCGATGAAGCGTGGGGGGGTTTGGTGCTCGTTAAACTGACGAGTGACTTGCTGTCCTGTTCGAAGGTGACGGAGTTGGTGCTCGATAACTGCCGATCCAGCAACGGCGAAATCGAAGGTCTGAATGACTCATTTAAAGAACTGGAGTTTCTTAGCATGGCCAACGTCGAGCTGACATCGCTGGCCAAACTTCCCACGTTGAGTAAGCTCCGAAAGGTACGTCTTCCGTCGCCGAAGTCCCGGTGACAACCCGTGGTTGTGCCTTTCAGCGCTCGCAGTTGAACTTGCGCTATGGTTTTTGGTTTGGTTTTTCTTTTTTTAAGATCTGAAATTGGGGGTACCTCCAGTTACTTATGGCCCAATGAGGATTGGCCAACGACTCTTAGGATGGTAAATGCTTGGCTGTTCAAAATGGTGGTGGTTGGCGGTGCCTTGCTGAGTGCTGGCGGTTGATGAGGCCGTTGGGTTGCCCAGCTGGTGGAGTGGCGCATCGCTGGCAGAACAAAAGCTTGTAGCGCCTTCCAGTCTTACGTGTTCTACTGAGTTGCCATTTAAGTGTCCAAACCCAGGAGATTTTAATGACTACTTCCTAATTCTCAAAGTAAACTGAAGGGAATTCTTTGACGGCCAAAACGATAACTCAATGAGTGCTTGTGAACTTGGACTCTTCAGAAGAGTTCAGCTTTGTGATTAAATTGTTCAGTTAAGGGGAGAGTGATTAAACATGAGGTGGGGCTGGATCTGGTGGTACAAATCGAACCCTTTAATTACTGAACTTTTTTTCTGTATAATAGTTGGAGTTGAGCGACAACATCATTTCAGGAGGCCTGGAGGTCCTTGCGGAAAGGTGTCCAAATCTCACATATCTAAATCTAAGCGGCAACAAAATCAAAGATCTTGGCACTGTGGAAGCTCTTGTAAGTATGAAGGGAGAGGGGCTGATTTAAATCTAATAAATTTTATTTTAAAATCAAGAATAAATTAATATTTTTGCAGTGGAATGGTACAAGTTGGGCTGTTCAGCCTGGAGAAGAGAAGGCTGCGGGCAGAGCTGAGTGCGGCCGGTCAGGGAGAGGGGGTGGAGGCCCCATCCCTGGGAACATTCCAGGCCAGGTTGGCCGGGGCTGTGAGCAACCTGATGTGGTTCAAGGTGTCCCTGCTCCTGCAGGGGGGTTGGGCTGGGTGACCTCTGGGGGTCCCTTCCCACCCAAACCATTCCATGATTCTATGAAACTCAGCTGTGAGGACTGCGCCTGAGCAGTTTTCTCAAGCACTGTATAGAAACAGCGAACGGGGGGGTTAAATTAGCATTGTGTAAGAAATCAGCAAGTACAGAGGCAGCGTTCTAGCTGCTTGTATCCCTTTTCGTGCGGAATGAAATCGCCTTTCTTACCTGTCATATTCTACATATTTTTTTTATTCCCCAGCTCAAGGGAAATGGATAGTGCAGTGGTTCAGGTTTGTCAGTGTTCCAGTTGGTCCCGACTTGATTAACTCGATGTCGTGGTTATTAGGGACGGTACCTGTAAAACGCGGTGCTGTGGAGTTCCTCAGCGCCAGTAGGATGTCACTCAGTAAGAGATTTCTGAGCTGCTGGTTTGTCTTTGGATGACAAAGTGCCCAAGTCACGCCTTGCCAATCCTCTTGCGCTCATTTGTTCAGGTACAGTTTGTCTGATAAACAACTGCCCCAAGCTCTCGCTGAGCTGAAGTGACTGGGAAGCAAGTTCGGAGCAAGCCTGGAAAGCACCAGGAGTAGGTTATTGAAGTGTGGGAGGAAGCCGCCAGCGCCTGTCACCACCTGATCTGTGCGCCCATTTTTCTAGCTGATTATTTTTTTATTTTTTTTTTTTTGGTTTTTAGGATTTTGATACAGACTGCATATTTTTAAAAGTGTTCATAAAGCTTCTTCATCTACATTAAGGGTACTTTAACCCAGCAGTTAGTAGACCAAGTAAAGCAGTTAGTGCTCTGCAGAAGAAACGCTTTTATTTAGATCTTAAACACTTGCCAAGCCGTGCAGGTGGCTGCTTCGGTGTGTGTGTAAAGTCTGAAAGGTGAGAAAAATCACCATCGGTTGTCTAGTCTTTATTGTTCAGAAAGCAAAATCTGTAGTGTAGTGATAAATCCTACCAAGTGCCTCTTGCTTACTCCTTGCAAGATGCTTGTAATTAAATTACTCAAACTGAGAGGCTGCTGGAGTCGTTAAGTTTTTGCCCAGAATTGCCTGGACAAAAATAGGGTATGCAAACAAAACCCCAACCCCAAATAGGTGCTGGCGGTCTGTGCACGGTGGGTCTAGTGCTTGGAGGATGCGTTGGGCGTGCTGCACGCACGCTGCGCCGTTGCTCTGCAAAAGCAATTTTATTGGGAGTCCTATGCGAGCAACGGATTGAGCTGAAGTTTGTATTTAACGGGGAGCAAAGTACTGAATAGAAAAGAAGGGATGGGGACAAAATAAATTCTGTAGCTGGTGTGTGGTTAATGCTGTTTGGGCCGTGACCGTGCTGTTGAAGTACCGCGTCAAGAAATAGGGGAGGAAAAAAACCCCTTTTTGTTTATTTTCAGCAAAATCTCAAAAACTTGAAGAGCCTTGACCTGTTCAACTGTGAGATTACAAACCTCGAGGATTACAGAGACAGCATTTTCGAGCTGCTTCAGCAAATCACATACCTAGATGGATTTGATCAGGAAGATAATGAGGCACCGGACTCAGAAGATGATGATGATGAGGGTAACTTCCTGAAATAAACTGTGGATAGAAATGGTTCCACTGTAATAAAGATAGAGATGTAGCATGGGGTATAGCCACTTCTGGAATGCACTGGCATGAGATTCTGTGCTCTTACTTTTGAAGCGCAGACTTCTAGAACTCTTGGTATGAACACGCTGCGATACAGAGGAAAACTCCCCTTAAAGGTTTTGAGTGTTCTTGCAGAAGCCTTCTGAGCGCAAGGAAATTTGAGTAAAGATACTGTTACAAAGGCACAAATATTCTCAAAAGAAGTTGCGAAGCACTTTGGCACAACTGAATAATGCAAAGCGAGGGGACACACACACACGGTTTTGGATGAAACGTTGTAATTTTACTGGTTTTGTAATGGCTTCAGTCCCATGCTTGAGTATAATAGAGCTTTTTTGCTCAAAAAATCTATATAGCTCCTTTTGATCTGACCTCAGTCGTAGTCATTAATGAGGCTATTCCTACGTCTCTTTCCTTTGTTTCCTGTTTGGAATCGAAACCCGTAGGTACGGGTCTGTCAGCGCGTGGCTACAGATTCCGCGTTGATGCGATCGTAGGAGCAGCACGCGTGCTCGTCTTTAAGTGTACTTGGCTTAACAGGTGACTGACACAGGCAAAGCTGTTAAGAAAAAACCCCTCCAAAATGTGTTTTCAGCACTGCGGGCTGCTGTTGTGATGCAGCACGTTACACGTGTCTGCATTCTAAATATCCACGCAAATAACCAGGGAGATTTGGGCTCTGTCTGTTCGTGGCAGAGGTTTTTTGGTGTTTTCTGTGGGCCCTAAATCATCAGCTGGGAGCTGGCACGGCTGCGTGCCGGGTCATGGCTGTCGAGGGGCAGCTGACAAGTACGTAGATGCATCAAAGTCTGGAAACCTGTGTTTAAAAGAACTCAAATGAAAGCCAAATAGCTGATATTTGAAAAGTGGAAATAAACCCAATATTTGAAAATAGATTAATAGGTTATTAACTTGAAAATGAAATTTTAAGTGTTATATCACCTTGTCATTTCTTCTAATTCACTTAACTGAAACTGTGAAAGTGATTATGTGCTCCAGACGTAGGAATGGAATGAGAGCTCATCTCTTTGGAACCGTAGGTGTTTCATAGTTACTAGCAAGTGATTAAGTAACAGATAAATGTAATATGTTAAGCTGGTTTTGCCTTTAAATATTTTAGGGTTTGATTCTACAGAGAAGCCTCTCTTCCCCTTACTAAATTTTCAGCTTCCTTGCAGGAATTTGCATATGTAGCTGCTTCAGGCATCGAGAATTTTGCCTGAAGCTTGTGATGTGAAAACATTGGTAGCCTTTCTTCAGGGGAAAAAAAAATTAGAAAGAATTAACTTCATTAACATCGTGCTTAGTTTCCCACATGTTGCCTGCATTTCAAAACATTAAAAAAAACCCCAAACCCTTCTGGAAAATAACGTTACGCCTAGCTTGATCTGGTGTATGCAAGCCTGCATAAAGAGGAGGTCGTGAAACTTAACTTCTAGCGTTTTCATTTCAGAAGGAGATGAAGATGACGATGATGAAGATGAGGATGAAGCTGGTCCTCCAGGAGAGTATGAAGAGGAAGACGATGAAGACGACGGAGGTTCAGATTTGGGGGAAGGAGAAGAGGAGGAGGAAGTTGGTCTTTCATACCTGATGAAAGAAGAGATTCAGGTAAGGTTTGTAAATTCTACCGAATCCAGGAAATGAAATAAAACCGCGTGGAGGGTTCTGTGTTAATTTAAACGTACCAACCCAGAGCATACACATGCAGGGGAGATGCGGCGAGATATTTTAGAGCGAACGCCGCTGCCACTGAAATACAAAGTGTTGACTTGAAGATGAGTGGTGGCCGTTGGCTACGAAGCCAATCCTGGCTGCCTTCCAAGACTGGGTTGACTTTTATCCCACCCTTGGTGCTGCAGGGTGGCGGAGCCTCTTTATTCTGTGCAAGCTAAAGAATCGGTTCTCCCCGATGTTTTGAAACCAGGCACTACTACCAATTAAATGGTCAGAATGGGCATACGTATTAAATAGAATAAATCAATTTCTTTTGGAAAACCAAAGAAAATACCCCCGTCTTGCGAAAGAAGAGAATGAAGTAGCAACAAGTTACCAGCACTTCAAGTAAGATGCAACAAAGGAGATGTCTGGGTTTTGCTGTAATAAATGCTGGGTTTTTTACTGTGCACTCACTTGAAAATGTTGTTAGTGGTGGTAAAGAGCTGTGGAAAAGGGCCTGCAGGATCTTTCAAGTAGTACTGTGCTAAAAAGCAAGTGGAGGAGGATTAAGATAAGAAAATGCATGTTTTACAAGGTTATGAACGGGTTCCTGTAGATAGAAACTGGCCATGCCTAAATGATCGTTGCCTGGAAGTAAACCCCGGGAGTCCTGATCTAACACCCCCCGTTGACAGCTACAGGGGTTTCGGAGGGAGAACGTGTCTGGCGTGGATTTTGTCTGCCAGCCTGTGCAAGCGGCTGGCGCGTTTCAGCTCAGAAGAACGCTGGTGACATCACTTCCATTACTGTTAGTTTTGATAAGAGTTTACTTCCTGTCAGCTGCATTTCACGTGGATGTGCAGAAAATCTTGAACTAAACTCTTTGTGGTCTTCGTTTTGTTCTTGTAACTAGCGCTCGTATGATTCGCTTAGGAGCGTAACTACGTTCCTGCCATAATGCTCTGAAGAGGTAATGTCTGCAACACAGTTAACGAAGCTGAAACTAAATAAGTGAATCTGTTTCGAAGCTGAGACCTTAGAGATAGTTCTTTGGAAAATGAATAGGATGCGACTAGGAAGAATACCGGGAATTAGTTGTGTGTGGTCATTAGTTTATGTGTGTGCTGCGTGTCGGAATTGCCACCATGAAAATGTTAGGGGAGTTCAGAACCCTTCGGCCCTTCTGGTGATGGAGTGACAAAACCAGGTACCGCGTTTGCCTTTTGCATTCGTTTTGGTAGGGGGCAGGCGGCGGTCAGGGTGAGGGCTGTGAAGTTTTGAGAGTGTGCCCGTCTGCTAGCTTTTCCCTGCATTTTTGAAAATCGATTTGGAAAATGGAACCGTGCACCATTCTAACTGCAGCGAATGACTCCAGAGTGGTTTTTAATTCCCTTGTTCTAAGGGCAAATGTCAGTATGGGTTCTCGAGTGTTTCCATGTTTTTGCTTGTTACGTTACCCTATGTATAAAAAATGATATAGCAGATGGGTACAAAAATAAGACTTCAGTTTGTCTTCAAGGCTTGACACTGTGCCAGCAGGGCAGAGATCTTGCACCACTGTTTAATTTTCTGGGGCTGCTGATTGTTAATTGGTTTACATTTTTCAGCTATCGGCTTTGGGGGGGGAAAAAAAAACCCCAAAAAATTCCTAACAACTTCATTTATTTGGTACAGAAGCAATAATTCTGTGAAGATATTAGCCGGTTTGCTTTCTCTTCTTCCTTGTCCTTTAATGACAGTGGGCTAAAAGGAAAACTAAAGCTGTTTGTCATCTCTATTTGCTGTTGTTAATTTTGCAATAACTTACTCTTGAGCTGGCGTAAGCGGGGGAGAAAACAAAGAAACGAGAATACCGGGCCAGATAATGCGCAGGCTGGGGCGATTAAAGGTCCTGCGGTCAGTTTGGCTGCCTGTCCTTGTACCAACGTCCAGTAACAAAAAGTAAATGTGGAATGTGACCTCTGAACAGAGTAAGTGGGATTTTCTGAATTTCTGCTCAGGATCAGCATGTAAGCAGAACTTAAATAAACGGCAATTTTAAAAACCTTTCGCGATTTTTGTAAAGGATGAAGATGATGATGATGACTACGTTGAAGAAGGAGGCGATGAGGAGGAAGAAGGTAAGTTCTCAAGTTATTAAAGTTGCGGCTAAAACGATTCTTTATAATTCTGGAACTTTGCAAGTTTGGCGTGTGCACTTTAAAGGCATAAATCACTGTTTGGGCTGTTTCTGAAGGAATGTAAAGTATTTTAGGATCGGTTTAAGCAAGAGTTCGAGCAGGTGGTAGAGTAGCTGTGCAGTATTTCATAGAATCGTAGAATCACAGAATGGTTTGGGTGGGAAGGGACCCCCAGAGGTCATCTAGTCCAACCCCCCTGCAAGAGCAGGGACACCGCTAACTAGATCAGGTTGCTCACAGCCCCATCCAACCTGGCCTTGAATGCTTCCAGGGATGGGGCCTCCACCACCTCTCTGGGCAACCTGTTCCAGTGTTTCACCACCCTCAGTGTAAAGAATTTCTTCCTTATATCTAGTCTATTTGATACCTTTTATCTGCTCACTTGTAAAATAAGGAGGAAACGACAGGTTTTCAAAGTCTCTTGTTGAGGCGGTTTTCTAAAATGAAAGGTACTGCATCTCCTACACGGTTAGAAATGTTAATTTTTCCAAGATGGAGAGGAGAGGGGACTCCTACGTTATCTACGTACATTTGGAATAGGTTGTCTACTGCACCAGAGGCTCCATGGGCAAAGCCCTCGGAGCAGCAGTAGCACCTTTGTCTTTTCCCTTTATCACGTTGAAAGTGGTTTTTCCAGTAAACCTTTCTACTTCAGCGGCCGCTCCTAGGAGGCAAACTCAACCCCGTATCCCATCCAGCAGCCTAGCTAGCGAGCCTAGCTGTATTTTTTCTATCCAGTCTTTATCAGTGGTTGTAACATCTTAATTCCGTAAATTGCTCTTTTGATGTCAGACACATGCATAATAGTCAAAAGCTTGCAAAAAAAGAAAAAAAAAAAAGGCCAGTGTGCGTGGTTTATCCTGCTTTGAGAAGGTGCAGCGTGATGAGTGTGTGTAACTGATGGGGGGAAAGTGGCGTTCTTGCAGGCCCTTGAGAACGTAAAGTTCTGTTTGCAAGAAGAGGATTACTTGAGTATTTTTTTTCCATTAAATAACATTTTTATCTTTTGATATTTTTAAAAGGACCTGCAAGAAGTTAAACAGGACAAACTCTTTTTTTTGCACCTTCAGGGTAGGGAGCAGCTGTAGGTTCGCTGCCCCTGTGCTGTTCTGGGTCACTGGAGCAGAAGTTGCTCTACAGGCAGAAGGGTTATTCCCGATTTTTGTGCAGATATTGGCGTTCCCTGATTTGTGCGTGGAGGGATGGGTGGCTTGGTTGTGCGTTCCAAGCGGTAAGATTAAGCCACCAGGCAGGAGTCCCCTGTTAGGACCAGTCTATGGCTGCTAAAGTCCCTTAAAAAAAAAAAAATTACCAGGCTTCATCTTAAAATGCTTTTCCTCTGAACTTCTCTTGCCACGAGGCTCTTCCAGAGCTTTGCTTTGCTAACAGTTAGGCACTCTGTCCTAAACTTTAAACTACCCCTAGCAGGAAAGTTTTGTATTAATAGCCCTGAAGTCTGTGTAAACTGTAGACAGATTCTGGAATTTCTCACCAGACCAGTCCCTGTCTCATTTGTACGCTTGGCCTAACGGAGCAGTTTTTGGAGATGTGCCTTGCACTTGGGGGGGAAAAAAAAAAAAAAGGAATTCTGAGGTAGTAATGCTAATTCTTCACTCTCTTACCAATGCAGCCTTTGTGGCTATTAAGACAACAAAGCAGGAGGTCAGGATGGCTAATTAGCCAGGAAACGACTGCTGGAAAATAAATCTATTAGATTTGATGAAATTGCATTTCATGATTTCACCACAAGAGCGCATAGTCCACTGACCGAATTAAGCATATTTCTGAGAATAAGCTCAAAGATGTTTATGCAAGACACTCAGCTCGGTTTGTCACTGGAGAGAGAACAGAGCATGTTTCACTTGGTGTCTGCAGAAGCTGCTGGGGTTTGGGCGGGGTGCATGCAACTTCTAAAAACTAAAGTTAGGGAGATACGGAAATGGTATTTTAGTTCTCAAATATATGTTAACAGAAACACTTTTTTAATAAATCCGCTTCGTCTTGATAATTTTTGTATGGAACATCATGTGCTCGGCTTGAATTTAGTTTAATATGGCCTGCGTGAATTATTCAGAGTAATGTAAACTGATCTTTTTTTTTGAGAGCCATAAGCACCACAGAGAGGTTACTGTGGTGAATGCATTAACTACAGACGAACCGGAATCGCTTCCTATTACCTTTTCTACAAGTATAACATGACGTTTATGATGTCTGAGCAGAACCTAATGAGATGTTATGCGTACCTCTTTTCCTTAGCAGAGGGCATTCGAGGGGAGAAGAGGAAACGAGACCCTGAAGACGAAGGCGAGGAAGAGGATGATTAATTTGTTATAGACACAAGTAGGACCAGACTCTTAAGTTACAGAATACGCAATAGTGATTATGCAGATCTGTATGTCTCCATGTACCATAGATGTCCCTACAGAAGATAATACGTTAACTTTTTATAGGAGAAGTGTGGTTTTACTATTCTTGCCCTTTTTATCATTCCAAATAAGATATAATAGCCTGTTAGTGAACCTATATGTAGATGACAATTTTCAGCCCTATAATCACTGAAGCCATTGTCAAGTTTTTCCCCCCCTAGACTTTTGTTTGGAGCTCTTTGATTTTATACAAGCTTGCTGTGTTGGTCATCATGAGCCCAGAGTTAAAACACCCCTTTCACGTGGGTTTAATATTGTGAATTTCCTTCAAGATTTTAAAAGTTTTTATACTTAAAAAGCTGAGCTCAAAAATGCTATATGGCAAATTCCAGTCTCTGTCGTCTGAGTTTACCAGGGATTTGATTTGAAGTCGACAACTAGATTACACCTTTATTTCAGCTTTTTAAAAGGTGACTCCTGTAATATTTTTTTTTGTCTTCTATCCATTTTGTCTGTTGCATTGTAAAGCCTAAGTGGGTTTCAGAAGATCTTTTTTTTTCCTGCTTGTTCAGGTGTTCGGTGTTTGCTGGAGTATTCACTAGATACCTTCAAGAACCTATCTTGGCAAACCGAAAGGGTCATAACCCGTAAATTTTCTCCAAAACACATAGTCATTGCAGGTATTAACAAAAGCAACTAATCTGTAGTTTAAACCCATTTCGCTAGAAGTCTTTGGTAAACTTTCGCTCACTTTGGGAATTCCGCAACCATCGTCATGTTTGGCTATAAAATACATGCATTTCTGATGCAGAAGTGAACGGGTAACTCCTTCAAGCACATTTTTTTTTTTTTTTTTTTTTTGTTTTCAAACAACACCCCCCCCACACTTTTATAGAATCATCGAAGGGGGAAGGATGAACATAAGTTAGTCTTTCTTCGCAGGTCATCTTTTCAACTTTTTAAATCGGGTTGTAGGCAAAACATTCAAGTTCATGTATAATACTAGATAATAGTTTAGGGTTTTTTATATGGAATGGCTGCAGAAACTTGTTCCATTGCATACAGTCGGTGGCGAGCATAGGAGACATGCAGACAAGCTTTTTTTTTTTTTCTAGCAGCCCGATTGTGACCAACAGGTCTTAATAATTCTGCCCCGATGGATTCATGTTTTCTATTTGAGCTGCTGCGAAACACGTTCAGACATACAGCATTCCTCTTTCAGTCGGGATTGGGATTTAAACCAGTAGTCTTGGTATAAAACTAATTTGCATTGTTTCACGTAGGTACTGAACCAAATATCACACACAGCTTTATTCAAGAGACTTATTTTTATATCTGTCTTGGCTGACAATAGCTGCCATTAAACTGGGGGAGACACCGAGGGTGGGGAAGAGGGAGATTTCCTGGACCTAGGTAAGAGTCAGTCGCCCATAGATCGGTTACCTGTGAATATTTAATCGGTATTTCACACACTAGCAGACTTTAAATGTGACTTCCAACTCTTAAATCAAGTTCAGATACTGCAGGGTTGAAGTTCTGCAAAGCCCAATTTCTTGTGTGTGCAGGTTTTTGGTTGGTTGTTTGGTTTTGGTTTTTTTTTTTTTTTTCCCCTCCAAATAGAGCCTTAAATCATAGTTTCTCATGTAGCTGTAAAGCATAGCCAGCCGCTAAAGGCATCGGAATGAAACGAGTCAGGCAGGTGGCAATATACTTGGAAGTGAACTGACTAAATGGGGTTTGCATTGGTTTGGGGTTTTTTTAATGAATATCTGTAAAGACACTAGAAAAGTAGTGGTAAAACTACATTTGCAACCACAATCTTAAGTTCCTGTGTTTGTGTATGAATACTGAATGAATAGAAATCTTAGGTAAGTGCACATCCTATCTTGTCGTGGAGGCTCTGTGTTCAAGGCAGTTGCTTTGTGCTCAGCTTTGAGATAGAAAAGTGTTTTCCCATCTTTTTGCTTATTTTTTTTAGTCTCGGTGGATGATTGAAGCTTACTATTTATAAATGTGTACTTTAAAGTACCTCATTGTCAGGGTTTTCCTTAAACCATCTTTTACTGATGCATATAAAATTAGTTTTAAATGGAAAAAATTGCTATTTTGAGGGATTAAAATTATTTGAGTACTGGTTGCAGTAAGTGAGTCCAGTTTTGACACTGGAGGAGCTAATTGGACAGAAGGGGTTAAACTCAGAAGGGGTTAGCAGACTTTCCCTAGGATAGGCAGACTTAACACTTCCTAAAACCAACTTGCAGTGTCGTGCATCAGCCGCTCCATCTAAGAATCTGAGCCTCACACACAACTTCCCAAGTAACTTTGTCTTTTCCTCAGTGCTAACCATCGAAGTATAGTTCCATATTTGTCAGCTTGGCATGCAATTCAACAGCATAGCATTTTTTAAAAAAATAAGTAATACAGAGCCTCCAGATAACTTTTGAAACTTTTTTGCTTGGTGGGTGGTCTTTTCATGCAAATATGTAAGGGTGGGTTTTATATTTTGTAGAGGTTTTGTCCTATTTTAATGCTCTTTGTATGGCAGTATGTATATAGTGTGTTTCGGTTCCTTATCAAACTCTTTCCTTAAACTTTGGAGTAACTGATTTTGTGCAACTGTGTTTTGAATAAAGCCATGACAGTGTTAAATTAAAGAAAACAACCCTGCAGCACTCTCCGGATAATTTTTAGTTGTAACAAAACATGTTTCCTCCCCATGTGTGCTGTAAATTTTAAATTAAAAAAGTTTTCAAACCGAATTATTTCAAATAAATTGAGACTATTGTGTTGGATTACTTCTTCTAGTATGTACAGCTGTGGAGAATGTGGTATTTCTTAAGGAATAATTGTTCTTTCCTGTTACCTTTTCGTTGTTGGGGAAACCCGTGGAATTGTCTGTCTTTCTGGGGCTAGAACTTTATGGTACTCTGGTTTTTGGTAACGTTGTCACAGCTGAGGAAGAATGCTGTGGGAAACCCAAAGTGATGTCTGGAGTGTTCCAGACGACTGTAATGTAGAAATGAGTGCTGGAGCTGACAGGGCTTTTGCATACTGTATAAATCAATACCATTTGAGTGTAGCTGAGCTATGCAAGTCTGGCTGAGTCTTAAGAAACAAAAATGAAAAAAAAATCCAAGAGCCTGGTTCTATTTTTGCTTTTCAGAAGCGCTGACTTGGTGTGTCCAGCAGCTCGACCTGCAAGTCTTAATGCTTGTCCTTTCAAAGTAGCTGCCTGGGTCTGTGTGAATTACTCCTTATTCAAGAATGATGTTTAAAAAAAAAAAAAAAGCTGCTTCTCCTGTACAGCTAGACAGAGCATTGTTTTTATTTTGGGATTAGTCCAGCATTCCTGGCAAAAATCCCCTGGATGCACTTGAGAAAGCTAGTAACTAAACAGGCTTGTCTACTGGATATGTGATTAGCCAAGAAATGGGTGGTGGTTTTCTGGGATTTTTTTTTTTTCTTTCCTTTTTTTACTCGTGGGGAGGAATGCCTTTCCATCTACAGCCCCATACTGGCCACTTGCTCCCTATGCACCTATTTGCCCACTGGAGTGAGACCAATGGGGAACCTGAGCTTTAGAATTGTTTTTAATTTAGTTTAGTCTAGCTTTTGGGGCTACTGGTGGGTTTATGCGAACTGCAACCAAGCTGTTCCATTCTGGTACATGCATGGCAAAAGAGATGAGATTTAGTGCTGTGTAGGCATGTCTTCAGAATCAGGAAAAACTCAAGGCGTGGGCTGATGGGCTCCTGAGCTCATTCTGTTGGAGGCGAGCAGCTTGTCGTGACCTGTCATAAACCACCTTTCTCCCTGCTACAGCCTGGCAGTCTCTCTCTGGTTGAAAACATGCCACTGCTGCTGCAGAAGTCATCTGTCCAGATGCTCCACACGGCTGAGGATGTGCTCACTCCCTGCCCCGGCGGCTGCCAGGCAGGGACAGAGGGAAGCCAGCTGCTCTCCAAAGGCTAAAAGCGCCCCAGACTGCTGTCTCCAGCGGAATCCCAGGGGCTCTGCTGTCCTCCATTTTGTCGCAGTGAGGGGAAGCCCTGCTGGCGGGCGGCCGCGTGCGGCTTCCTCCCTCCTGCTCCTTCGTTCTCCTTCTCTCGGAGCTTTTGTCTTTTGCCCCTTCTTTCGCTTTCCCGCCCCTCTCGTCCCTTATCTCCCCCTTCCAGTTGTGCTGCTTCCCCTCCCCTTCCTTCCTCAGGGGCAGGAACGTCTCACGAGGCGACTGACAGGCGGGGA